TCCTCCTTGCTTATACACTTACTGTTGCCTCCATACACAGACTTCACTGACCCCTAATAGCCCATAGATTTTATCGCTGCTTATTGTTGACATACCCGTCTTTGTAAATGATGTCTTCTTTACAATGGAATATTCGTGGCCTCGTGTAATCGGGGAGAGCTCCAAGTGTTGCTTTCCCAGGTTTCCCCAGTATGTGTTGGGTTACAAGAGCCCAAAATTCGTTCAGCTGTTATTCGTCCTTTTTCAGGCTATGTGCTGTTGCATTCTTTTGATCCCTTTCCTGATGAATCATATAATGAGAGTGTGCTTCTTGTGCGCGTTGGTATACTATATCATCAGGTCTTTGTTTGTTCTCTACTGCATTATACTGCAGCTTGTATTTATTTGCACAGATGGTATACAGTTTACTCTATATATCTCCCCCTCCCGTGCATTCTGTATCTTGGATATTGAGTTCTTGATCTCTTCTCTACCGCCGCCCATCTTGTTAGGTGATTTTTAACGCTCGCCATCATCAGTGGGGAGGGTCCCACTGTGACTCGTGGTGATCAGTTTGAGAGACTTCTCGCCTCTCATCCTCTTCATGTTTTAAATACAGGTGCTCCTACCCATTTTGGCTCGCACTCAGTCTCTCTCTTGCATTGATCTTTCTATCTGTTCCTCATTAATTGCACTTGATTATGCTTGGTCTGTTCTCCCGGATTTACACAACAGTGATCACTTTCCAATTCTTCTTACTTATACTACGTATTCCCAACCACCTCATAGCCCGTTGGCAATTTGCATGAGCGAATTGGCACTTATACTCTCATCTTACCAACTTTTGTGGGGACCCTCCTTCATCCTCTATTGATAAGCTGGTGCACCAGTTTTCACTGCAGCATCACATTCTATTCCTCAAACCTCAGGCAAGCATTCTTAGACATGCGTGCCTTGGTGGTCTCCTGCATGTGCCCGTGCAGTGCATTTGAAATGTGCTGTGTGGGGCCATTATTGATATAATCGGACCTCAGATCAACTTCTGGATTATAAGTGGGCAAGGGCAGTTGCTTGCCGCATCATACACGACACTAAAACACACTTGTTGGCAAGACTACGTGTCTACCATTACCTCGACTTTCCCTGTGTGTGCGGTTTGGAAGAAGGTACGGAAGTTGTGTGGCAAATACACTCCAGACCCAGCTCCCATTTTGCGGGTTGCTGGTGTTAGTGTTGTGGAACCTCTTGAAGTTACCATGGAAATCGGGAACTATCTTGTCCGTGTCTCCCAAGGGCTTCACCTTTGTCTCTTATTTCTTGCATCTAAGTCTACCAAGGAGCAATTACCCTTGAATTTCTCCTCTGATGGAATGGAGCTGTATAACGTACCTTTCACTCTCCTAGAGCTAGAGTCCACGCTTTCCGCTTGCCAGTCGTCAGCAGCTGGGCCTGATGATATTCATATTGGTATGCTACATCTGCATTCTACAGCCCTTGCAGTCCTTTTGTGTCTTTTCAATCTTATTTGGATGCGAGGGGTTCTCCCTCAACAATGGACATCTGCCATTGTACTACCATTTTGCAAACCAGGCACCTCGGGACTTGATACCTCTCACTATCGTCCCATTGCCCTGACCAACGTAGTCTGCAAGGTGATGGAACGATTGGTGAATAGACATTATTATTATTATTATAATCAAAAAGAAGCGCTAAGCCAGGTGAATAGACATCTGATATGGTTTTTGGAGCCTCACAATAATCTTTCCCCTCGCCAGTATGGCTTTCGCAAGGGCCGCTCTACTTTGGACCCCTTGCTCCACTTAGATACATATGTGTGAAATGCCATTGCTAACAAACACTCCATCCGAGCAGTATTTTTTGATCTTGAGAAGGCATATGATACCACTTGGAGGTATAACATTTTAACTGAAGCCCACTCCTTAGGCATCTTCAGTAATCTACCAACTTTCCTTAATGCTTTCTTATTTGAGACATTTTCGTGCATGTGTTGGCACCTCACTTTCCTCAGATTTTGTTGAAGCCAAGGGTGTTCCACAAGGTTGCGACCTTAGAACTACCCTTTTTCTCTTGGCTATAAATGACCTATCTTCAATTCTTCCATCTCATATTTGATCATCACTTTATGTGGATCACTTCGCTATAGCTTATGTAGTTGCTGACTGTCGCCGGGTAGCGGCCTCCTTTCAGGTTGTGACTGACCAAATTTCCCATTGGGCCACTTTTCATGGATTTAAATTTTCTAGTACAAAAACCCATTTCATTACCTTCACTAGACATCCTCTTGTCCCAGATACTCCATTATATTTACACGGCTCGTGGAGTATTCCAGAATGTGATACGGTCAAGTTTCTTGGCCTTCTCTTTGATTGCTGGTTGACACGGAAACCTCACATTTCCTCTTTGAAGGCAGTTTGCCAGGGTTGGCAAGCTGCCAACCATTTGCATTCTACCCTAGTCTTGTCCAAGCTGGATGATGGTGACCAAGTTTATTCTGCAGCTTCTACTACCACTCTTTCTAAGTTAGATCCCTTTCATTATCAGGGTCTACATTTATGCCTTGGTGCCTTTCGTTCATGCCCTATTGAAAGCTTCTATGCTGACGCGAATGTTCCTTCCTTAGCTGACTGTCTGAATGCTCATTGTGTTCGTTACTTTGTTCGCTCTCATGACCTTCATGTTCTGCCTATGTATAGGTTGGTCTCAGATGTTAGTAGAAGCCCATTATTTGTTCAATGCCCCTACTTACTCCGACCATTTTCTCTTCGTCTTCACTCACTCCAGTCTTCTCTCCAGTTGCCTCCCTTGTATGTTCATTTAGCGTCTGCCTCTTCCCTTACCCCTTGGGAGGTTCTAATGGTTCGTGTCTGCCTTTCCCTACTGCAGTGCGCCAAAGCTCTCCTACCTATGACTGCTTCTCACTCTTTTTCTTGATCACTTCTGGTTGCATGCTCATGCAGTTGCTGTTTATACAGATGGTTCTTAATCTTCTGACGGTGTTGGGTTCATGGTGGTGTTCCCTGACGATGTTGTTCAAGGTCATTTGTTAGACTCTGCTAGTATTTTTACTATCGAGTTGTATGCCATCCTTATATCACTTCTCCGTATTACATATGTGTCTCCTTCGACGTTTTTGATCATTTCAGATTCCCTCAGTACTTTACAACCCATTACAATTTGATTCCCCTTATCCATTAGTCCTTCGTATACAACTATGGTTGCGCCATGTGGCTAGCAAAAACAAAGAAGTCATTTTCTGTTGGGTCCCTGGACACGTTGATGTGCAGGGCAATAAACAAGCAGATGCTGCTGCGCAGTCAGCAGTGCATGATCCTCCGGTTTCCTATAGAGGTATTCCGTTCAGATTATTTTCTGGTCACCTCGGCCCATCTTCACGGCCATTGGCAACATCGGTGTTTGGGCATGCACCATAACAAATTGCAGTCTATTAAACTGCTTTTAGGTTTGTGGCCATCTTCTTACCACCATTGCCGTACTCGAGAGACTGCTCTCCCTTCTCTCCATTGGCCATACTTGCCTTACCCATGGGTATCTCATGGAACGCACCCTCTTCCCCTCTGTGAGGTTGGTCGGGTCCCTATTTCGGTTCTTCACTTGTAGATTGTCCGGTTTACCAGCGAGCTCACAGGATTTACCTCCAACGCCGCCACCACCATACCACTCTTACCTTATCTTCCCTTCTTGCAGACGGCCCTACCTTTTACTTACAATCACTTTTTTACTTTTTGTCAGCAACTGCTTTACTGTATGAACTTAGACACATAGCCCTTAGCATCCCTTCCAGCCCTTTTCTCTCCTCACCTCTGATCCCCTCTCCACATAGCTGTTTATGGCCCTAGCACTATTTTCTGCCCCACAGTGCTGCATGACCCTTTCTCTGATTATAATAATTCTCTGCCCTGTTACGCTGTATGATCCTTGTAGGTTTAGCGCCTCTTTTTATTATTATAATAATAATCTATTGAATGTCAGTAAAAACTGGTTTAGTGATAGTATTTTAAGATGTGTTTTTTAAAATAAGTAAACCTGTGAATACAATACATATTTCCCAATTAATCTGACCTCCCTCCCTTCACTAATTTTCCCTAATTAGATGTACATTTTCCATTGATTAGTCACAAGACACTTTTTTTTTTTTTTCTTTTAACCATGTTAGCCATCATCCAGTGAGGTAGGGTGATCTGAAAGAGGAAACACTTTCACCATCACTCATTCAAACTCTTGTCTTACCAGAAGTGTGCTGACATCACAGTTCAGATAACCCTGTGAACAGCAATATCCCCACCCCTCTTTCAGAGTACAGTCGCTGTATTTCCCACTTCCTTGACTCAGTCTGACTAACCACTTTCCTCTGAATCCCTTCATAAATGCTACCTTGCTCACACCAAAAACATGTCAAATCAAAGAAACCGCTTGCTTCCACTCATGCCTCCCCTCAAGGAAGGTTCCTTGATGCTGGTGAGGGGCTCTTGATCTCGGGAACTGGATCTGTGCTCCAGTTCCTTGAATTAACCCTGAATACCTTCCATCTCCCCCCAACAGGCACTATAATCCTACTGGTTTAGTGCTTCCCCCTTGATTATAATAATAATCCACTCATGCCTGTCTTAAGATGTATTCACAAGCCTGTTGGATGTCCAAGCCCCTAGCCCTCAAAAATCTCCTTTACCACTTCCCGTCATCTCATTTTATTTTATTTTTTTTACTCATTGACTATCTCCTGACCCTTGTAGGTTTAGCACTTCTTTTTTATTTTGAATATACTAATAATGGCCATCTCCCACCAAGGCAGGATAATAGAAGGAAGAAAACACATTTACTTGCATTATTATTTTTATTACTATTTTTTTATATAATATTTGTATTTAAGTGAATTTTATTTGTCACTTGGAAATACTTGCTATTATTATTTAATGCAGGAATTAATATTCTAGTCTTAAAGTTCACATGAACTGATTTTTAAAAGCTGTTCCACATTTCAGTATCACTTTATGGAGGAGTGTTTCCAGCGTATTCAAGAGGAACAACAGTGGACGTAGAGACTGGAAGTTGTAGCAGAGTAAATGTAAGGTATAGGAGGATATATATATATATGGGACTGAATATGTACAAGACAAAGAAAAGGACATCCTGAAAGCTATTTAAAATGAAATGGTCAAAGGTAATTCCAGGTGTGGGAAAACTAGGGGATCAAGCATGACTTCAATTAAACTTGGATTTAATGTAAAATGGTAGAGGGGGGGGGGGAGTATGACAAAGGGATTGTGATGATAGTAGGTACTTTTTTCACATGGAAGAAGAGTAAAGAACAGTATCAAGACAGGGAATCCCTGGATTCAAGTGACTTAATAGATGTAAATTGAGAGTGAATTTTTTTATAACAGTGGCCATCTCCCACCAAGGCAGGTTGACCCAAAAAAGAAGAAACAAAAGCATTTCTATTTACATTTAGTAATTTACACAGAAGGGGTTACTAGCCTCTTGCTTCAAGCATTTAGGATTCTTTTCCACTTCCCCATGGAGAAAGGAAATAAATGAGAAGAATTAAGAAAATACAAGAAAACACAGATGGTTGTGTATACATATACTTGTACATGGATGTGCATTGTGACCTAAGTTTAAGTAGAAGTAGCAAGTTGTACTTGTTATCTTGCATGTTTATAAGACAGAAAGACACCAGCAATCCTATGATTGTGTAAAAGTTACAGGATTCTGCTTTACACTCGTTAGCAGGATGGTAGTACCTGCTTGAGTGGTTGCTGTCTTGTCTCTGGCACGACAGTGATAGAGTGAATGATGGTGAAAGTGTTTCTTCTTTTTCAGGTCATCCTTTATTGATAGGTTTTTGATTAACTAGTTAGTTTCCTAAAAATGTTAGAGGTCACCTTGATGGCACATTGTAAAGTATATAACTTTTGCATACTGGCTAACATTTTTTTCGAAAGTTTACAGTATTAAAGAACCTAAAAAGCGAGGTTGCCCCCATTCACATGAAATACTTTACAGATTTTTCATTCAATTTTGACTCGTAATTAAAAAAAAAAAAAAAGCCTTATGTTCTTGCATTTAGATCAATAATATCTTATTCCTGTATGTAACTCCAATTTTACTAATTCCATATTATGACTAATTTTCTGTATTTACGTGTACTCTAGTTTAATAAGTTTATTCCTACATTTTTTAGTCTTTAGCAATATTTTTCTTCTGACATTATTAATTGCCTTGTTGTACACTGTTCCTGTGCATTCCCTGTCTTTTTTTCCATGATATATGCTACTGTCTCATAAGTAAATGGGAGGGAATTACAATACAATTGTAAATCCAAGTTTTATTGTAGTGTTTAACCCTAAAAGTTTTCATTTTTTCCTGTTGTAAATGTTTATATTTTTATCTTCATAGGCTTTGATTAGTTCATAATTAAAAACTGATGACAGTTGATTTATTACAGCAGATTTACCATTACTTAAGCAATATGGAGATACCTGACAGTGATTGTGCAAAACTATCAGTGGTAGTTACACTGCTTATCTTTTATGAATGAGGATGGGGGGTATCTAGTCTCAAAGGAGCTGAAGGCGTGTAAATGATATTAGATGCCAATAAGAGATTTTAAGACTGCATGTCCAAAGAACCATTCATTGATCTGTGCATAGTAGGATATTAGAACCAATGTGAAAATGCAGATTGAATGGGATGTGTAATGTTATTTATCCTGTAGCCATGTTTTAGCAGGTTGTTCTGCCAGTCACTATATTCAATGTTTCCTAGCTATGTATAAAACACTGATGGTTCTCTTATGTATAATTCTTTTAAATTGATAAAAAGATATATTTTTATGTAATCTGTTCTATTTATTGTAGAGACAACCAAACTATTATTAACATATGCCAGCACTGTGATCATCCACAACCCAGTTAACTAATGGCCTAATTATTAATAAAAATCTTATAATTTTGTTTAGAGTTTATATGCAAGTAATGCATGCATTTCTCAAGCATTAATGTCACTGAGTTTTATGTACACCTTAGATAAGATTATCATTGGCACAAGTAGTAAGTTAGCATCTATTCTAGAAAACTATTTTTAAATATTTTATAATTGTATTCGAATATAAGTTGATGATTCTGCATAGTTTTTCTAGACTTAATTTCAGGTATTAGCATATTGATCTTTAATGTCATTTAATTTCATGTACTTTTTTTTTTTTTTTTGTACTAATATCAGTACATAAATTTAGTTATCTTAAATGTAATTTTATATTGACATTACACAGTTTGTGTAGAATTCAGCATTTAAAATGTTTTTAATAACTGCAAGATTTTAATGTCAGTATGATTATTAAGCTGAACAATAAGAGAATGAATTTTAGTACAGTTGTGTTAAGAAAATTTAAATGTATGAATTATGCGACTGTATATTCCTCTAAACAAATTTTATGATTTATTTCAATCATTTTAGTTTGGTCTATTGTTAGACATTCCACTTTCAAAATGTATTGTTCTTTAGCTAGTCTGTTGAATATTTACACAGCTAGGTTATTATTTGGCTGATCAGAACATTTTAATTTTATGAATATTTATATTATTTTGACATAAGATGACAGTAGATTTATCCAAAGATTGAATGCATTTTCAAAGTGTCAAAGGCTTTATCATATACTCTTAGAAATATACAACTGAAGCCATACAAGACAGCTAGTACATGATACCATAAATCATATCCCATTGTTTCTCTTCTTGCCTCTTTCAAAATATTTATTAATCTGTAGTCAGCTTGTAATTCCTTCGTATGGTTGGTTACTTTCTCTTCAAAGTTAAAACTGGCTTACAGTGAAAAATCTGTGCCATAGAAGCTGTTAGTGTCACATGCTAATTAGAAAGGATGTTGTTGGTATTAGATGTCAACAAAAAGAGCCATAGTTTTGAATCCTGTATTTTTCTATTCAAAGGATTTAGATCCTCAATAAGCACCTGTCTCATATATGAATGTTAATGAGGGAAAGCTTTGTTAGTGAGGGATAGATTTATTTTATCAATGCAGCTTTCTTTGTATAATTGTTGTGACTTTCAGTGAATTGTGTTAAAACTCATGAGGTGTCAAGGGATAAGATTTCTGTACCAAAGATTTCAAAATGACCAAGTAGAATTTATCAGCTGTTAATTATAACTAAAGAATTTGCCTATTTTCAGAGTGTAAGTAGAGAAGACAATCATTTGTCTTAACTACTCCATCCATCTCATTTAGTATATTATTGTCACCTTTTTTCATACTTAAGCAAAAGTGGTGCATGCCTATTTATCAGACCATCCAGAGAGAAATATTCTTAAGTCCAAAAATTTGTTATATATTAATTTAAAAATAATTTCCTTACTTTAAACTGTAACACGGGATCAAGCTTTTATTGAACATGTGTGTTTTTGTCCTGTATGTTTTTGAGTCATCATTGTGAATGTTCATAGGTAAATAACACTATTTATGCTGATTTACGTAATGGCACACTATTATATTCAATTGCATGCATACATTTGATGTATATATCTACATGCCATATTTATGATGCAGGGTACTATGTACCTATTAAATCATCTACATTCACATTGTATATATAATGTAGTTTGTATGCTCCTTTTTAAAGATAAATATATTGTTCTATATTAGTCTCAAGAGATCTTTTAGAATTAATGGTTGATTACTATTTGCAGATTATATTTACAAAAGTCAAACATAGCAAAGAGTTGAAATAAAAGCACAATATCACAAAGCATGATATCACAAAGGAATTGTTTTCTTTAAATTTTATAAACAAAGGGTAATTAAAATTTACAGTAGAGGAAGACAAAGGGTAGGCAGTAAAAGAGCTGTGTAGCTATAATTAGGTTGAAATCCGGGAAAATTTAAAAGTGGATGGAAAAAGTGATGTTAAAAGGTAGAGGTATAATGATATATTGGCTCTATAAAATGAATGGTATTCATTGACCTTGAGTTTATTGCAGTGTTCAATGGCCAACACAGGTTTAGCTCTTGTTATTTTTTTTTTTTTTATTATCACACCGGCCGATTCCCACCAAGGCAGGGTGGCCCGAAAAAGAAAAACTTTCACCATCATTCACTCCATCACTGTCTTGCCAGAAGGGTGCTTTACACTACAGTTTTTAAACTGCAACATTAACACCCCTCCTTCAGAGTGCAGGCACTGTACTTCCCATCTCCAGGACTCAAGTCCGGCCTGCCGGTTTCCCTGAATCCCTTCATAAATGTTACTTTGCTCACACTCCAACAGCACGTCAAGTATTAAAAACCATTTGTCTCCATTCACTCCTATCAAACACGCTCAAGCATGCCTGCTGGAAGTCCAAGCCCCTCGCACACAAAACCTCCTTTACCCCCTCCCTCCAACCCTTCCTAGGCCGACCCCTACCCCGCCTTCCTTCCACTACAGACTGATACACTCTTGAAGTCATTCTGTTTCGCTCCATTCTCTCTACATGTCCGAACCACCTCAACAACCCTTCCTCAGCCCTCTGGACAACAGTTTTGGTAATCCCGCACCTCCTCCTAACTTCCAAACTACGAATTCTCTGCATTATATTCACACCACACATTGCCCTCAGACATGACATCTCCACTGCCTCCAGCCTTCTCCTCGCTGCAACATTCATCACCCACGCTTCACACCCATATAAGAGCGTTGGTAAAACTATACTCTCATACATTCCCCTCTTTGCCTCCAAGGACAAAGTTCTTTGTCTCCACAGACTCCTAAGTGCACCACTCACTCTTTTTCCCTCATCAATTCTATGATTCACCTCATCTTTCATAGACCCATCCGCTGACACGTCCACTCCCAAATATCTGAATACGTTCACCTCCTCCATACTCTCTCCCTCCAATCTGATATTCAATCTTTCATCACCTAATCTTTTTGTTATCCTCATAACCTTACTCTTTCCTGTATTCACCTTTAATTTTCTTCTTTTGCACACCCTACCAAATTCATCCACCAATCTCTGCAACTTCTCTTCAGAATCTCCCAAGAGCACAGTGTCATCAGCAAAGAGCAGCTGTGACAACTCCCACTTTGTGTGTGATTCTTTATCTTTTAACTCCACGCCTCTTGCCAAGACCCTCGCATTTACTTCTCTTACAACCCCATCTATAAATATATTAAACAACCACGGTGACATCACACATCCTTGTCTAAGTCCTACTTTTACTGGGAAAAAATTTCCCTCTTTCCTACATACTCTAACTTGAGCCTCACTATCCTCGTAAAAACTCTTCACTGCTTTCAGTAACCTACCTCCTACACCATACACTTGCAACATCTGCCACATTGCCCCCCTATCCACCCTGTCATACGCCTTTTCCAAATCCATAAATGCCACAAAGACCTCTTTAGCCTTATCTAAATACTGTTCACTTATATGTTTCACTGTAAACACCTGGTCCACACACCCCCTACCTTTCCTAAAGCCTCCTTGTTCATCTGCTATCCTATTCTCCGTCTTACTCTTAATTCTTTCAATTATAACTCTACCATACACTTTACCAGGTACACTCAACAGACTTATCCCCCTATAATTTTTGCACTCTCTTTTATCCCCTTTGCCTTTATACAAAGGAACTATGCATGCTCTCTGCCAATCCCTAGGTACCTTACCCTCTTCCATACATTTATTAAACAATTGCACCAACCACTCCAAAACTATATCCCCACCTGCTTTTAACATTTCTATTTTTATCCCATCAATCCCGGCTGCCTTACCCCCTTTCATTTTACCTACTGCCTCACGAACTTCCCCCACACTCACAACTGGCTCTTCCTCACTCCTACAAGATGTTATTCCTCCTTGCCCTATACACGAAATCACAGCTTCCCTATCTTCATCAACATTTAACAATTCCTCAAAATATTCCTTCCATCTTCCCAATACCTCTAACTCTCCATTTAATAACTCTCCTCTCCTATTTTTAACTGACAAATCCATTTGTTCTCTAGGCTTTCTTAACTTGTTAATCTCACTCCAAAACTTTTTCTTATTTTCAACAAAATTTGTTGATAACATCTCACCCACTCTCTCATTTGCTCTCTTTTTACATTGCTTCACCACTCTCTTAACCTCTCTCTTTTTCTCCATATACTCTTCCCTCCTTGCATCACTTCTACTTTGTAAAAACTTCTCATATGCTAACTTTTTCTCCCTTACTACTCTCTTTACATCATCATTCCACCAATCGCTCCTCTTCCCTCCTGCACCCACTTTCCTGTAACCACAAACTTCTGCTGAACACTCTAACACTACATTTTTAAACCTACCCCATACCTCTTCGACCCCATTGCCTATGCTCTCATTAGCCCATCTATCCTCCAATAGCTGTTTATATCTTACCCTAACTGCCTCCTCTTTTAGTTTATAAACCTTCACCTCTCTCTTCCCTGATGCTTCTATTCTCCTTGTATCCCATCTACCTTTTACTCTCAGTGTAGCTACAACTAGAAAGTGATCTGATATATCTGTGGCCCCTCTATAAACATGTACATCCTGAAGTCTACTCAACAGTCTTTTATCTACCAATACATAATCCAACAAACTACTGTCATTTCGCCCTACATCATATCGTGTATACTTATTTATCCTCTTTTTCTTAAAATATGTATTACCTATAACTAAACCCCTTTCTATACAAAGTTCAATCAAAGGGCTCCCATTATCATTTACACCTGGCACCCCAAACTTACCTACCACACCCTCTCTAAAAGTTTCTCCTACTTTAGCATTCAAGTCCCCTACCACAATTACTCTCTCACTTGGTTCAAAGGCTCCTATACATTCACTTAACATCTCCCAAAATCTCTCTCTCTCCTCTGCATTCCTCTCTTCTCCAGGTGCATACACGCTTATTATGACCCACTTCTCGCATCCAACCTTTACTTTAATCCACATAATTCTTGAATTTACACATTCATATTCTCTTTTCTCCTTCCATAACTGATCATTTAACATTACTGCTACCCCTTCCTTTGCTCTAACTCTCTCAGATACTCCAGATTTAATCCCATTTATTTCCCCCCACTGAAACTCTCCTACCCCCTTCAGCTTTGTTTCGCTTAGGGCCAGGACATCCAACTTCTTTTCATTCATAACATCAGCAATCATCTGTTTCTTGTCATCCGCACTACATCCACGCACATTTAAGCAACCCAGTTTTATAAAGTTTTTCTTCTTCTCTTTTTTAGTAATTGTATACAGGAGAAGGGTTACTAGCCCATTGCTCCCGGCATTTTAGTCGCCTCATACGACACGCATGGCTTACGGAGGAAAGATTCTTTTCCACTTCCCCATGGACAATAGAAGAAATAAAAAAGAACAAGAGCTATTTAGAAAAAGGAGAAAAACCTAGATGTATGTATATATATATATGCATGTGCGTGTCTGTGAAGTGTGACCAAAGTGTTAGTAGGAGTAGCAAGATATCCCTGTTATCTTAGCGTGTTTATGAGACAGAAAAAGAAACCAGCAATCCTACCATCATGCAAAACAATTACAGGTTTTTGTTTCACAGTCATCTGGCAGGACGGTAGTACTTCCCTGGGTGGTTGCTGTCTACCAACCTACTACCTTGTTGAGTACATATAATGATTTGACAAATGTCACTGAAATATTTTTTTAAATTTGTATATGTGTATGATGTAAGTTGATTCAGTACATACACACACTGTAGCTTATTACTGTGTTGTTAAATTTAGCACTGTGGTGAATAATTATGTGTGGGTCATTCAACACTACATACCAAAGAATGTGCTGACATTAAAGTAGAAATGTGAAGGGTAAACTCAAAAGAGCTGAAGTCATAGAAGGTGCAGTAAATCAGTGTCACTTTTAAGAAATTGTAGGGACTCTGCATTAAAAGTGGAACATTCTGAGGGAAGGACAGGGCAGCCAGGATAAGTTTAATATAGCATTGAATGCGAGATACAATGAGTGTGCGCTCTACGCAGGAACATTTAAAAAAAACTATTGAGATTTGATGTGACTATGGTGTTCAGCAAAGGCATTACGGATGTATGTATCAAGGAGTAAAGGATCTGTGTTGAAGTAGAGGGTTCTAAAACCTAACTATTAAAGGACACTGTTCCAGAATAATAATAGGAAAGGGTGTACTAGATGATGAATATGCAGAGGTTAGGAACAAGTGATAGTTAGGAGTGTGCAAGGGTAAGGGTTAGTGGGGTGGGGGTGTAGTGGAGAGAGCAAAGGGTTAGTTTGTTTAAAAAGTCAATATTTGCATCAAAGGTGGGACTTTCAGCAAGGTCAATTTGGGTAGGTGCAGGGGTGACATCAGAAGTGAATTCTGTGGGCCCCCTGGTTAACGTATGGTGAATTGGCACTGCAACGTGGCAATCCTAAGAGAACAGTGCTGGTCATTTGCGAGATATCCATGAGTGAGGCACATGTGGCTGATACTTAAGTGAGAAAGGGCAGTCTACCTTAAACAGTGAGATGGCCAGAAACCCAAACAAGGCTTGACACTAATTTATTGTGGTCCAATGTGGACCACTGTTGTCAGTAGTTGCGAGATGACAAATATAGTCTGAGAAAGGAAGACCCCAATAAGAAATTGGAAGGTAATGAACAGCCAACCGAGCAACTAAGTCTGTCCGTCTTACTTTGAACATTGTGTCCAGAGACCCAGCATTAAGTTTATTAGAAATGCAGCACAACCAAAGCTTATTTGTAGGATGACAGTATGAGGGCAATAAAACTTTTTGGATAGCCTGTAGTTCATGAAAGACCAAAATGATACAAGAAGGTATTGACTGTGGCCTGATTGTCAGTGAATGGCGCTAGGTATTCTGGGAAATACCACAAATCCCTATAAAATGCAGTTTTTATAATGGCCAAGAGAATTCGATAACTTGGCTGTGAAAATACTGGCCAATTCTAATTAATGATCCCCCTCCCTCAAGGATTCCTTGATGCTGGTGAGAGGCTCTTGATCTATGGAATTGGATCCATACAACAATTCCCTGAATGCCCCCCTCCCCCCACCAGTACTGTATAATCCCTATGGATTTAGCACTCCCATGATGATAATGACTTCTGATGATTTTGTGAGAAACAACTGCTGCATACCTACACCTTCAGGGGATTTAGAACCATTGGTGTACACTGTAATATGAGAAAGGAAATAGAAGTAATCAAAAAAGTGTGAGCATGAAGTTACAGTAGGTAAATAAGCTTTTGCACATGGAAGCGGGGAAGAGCAAACACGAATTGCTGGGAAAGAAAAGAAAGGTAAACATTAGGAGGAAGCATAGTGAGGTAATCCAACAGCAAGTGTGGAGAGGGAAGAGGTATAGTTTTATAGTAAATGGGGGTGACAAAAGCCCTACTAACAATTGCCACTGTCCTATGTGAGAGTTGAAAAAGTGACAAACAATGGAGATAGCCCCAATCTTGCAAAGAGTGAATATTCACTTCTGCATATAAGTTCTCAGCAGGGAAAGCCCTAAAATTTCCAATGTAACCCATCATGAATTGGATCAAGTTTGGAAAGAGTAATTGGGGGATGCTGAAGATAAAGTTAAGGGAAAGTGATTGGATGCAAACCGGGCTCAGAGAGTAGATATACTCTAGAAATTCTTCAAAGGTATATCAAAGGTATGCCATCAGGCCAGCTGCTGTTGGTAGCCACATGGACAGGATTGATTCAGGTTCACTAAGTGTGAAGGGAATGTTGTAAAGGTCCTCAAAATAAGTTGCAAAACCTAGTGGGGTGGACTCCTACTTGGGTTTGGATTGAAGAAAGGAGGGGAATAAAATGTAGCCCAAGAAAACACGAATAAATTTATGACCAAGTGTTTTGGCACTTTTGATGGGGGTCTTCAATGATTTTGTCAGCAATGGTACAAACAAGACAAGGGTCTGGAAAGTACTTTCCCGTTAACCTTTGTATTTTTTTTTTTCCAGAGTACAATTAAGATAAGATAAGATAAGATTTCGTTCAGATTTTTAACCCCGGAGGGTTAGCCACCCAGGATAACCCAAGAAAGTCAGTGCGTCATCGAGGACTGTCTAACTTATTTCCATTGGGGTCCTTAATCTTGTCCCCCAGGATGCGACCCACACCAGTCGACTAACACCCAGGTACCTATTTGCTGCTAGGTGAACAGGACAACAGGTGTAAGGAAACTGTGTCGAATGTTTCCACCCGCCGGGAATCGAACCCGGGCCCTCCGTGTGTGAAGCGGGAGCTTTAGCCACCAGGCCACCGGGTGGTTAGTGCTCTCATTTGTTAGCTACAAAATGGCCTATTGTTTGGTTAAGGGAGTGACCCAAATCAGTGTGTTTCAACTGTGGAAGCACAGTTTGGAAACCACCAGAGAATTTTTTTTTTTTTTTTTTTTTTTATATACTTACTGAGGGTTGGGAGATTGTAAGTATGGCTGCAGATTTTTATTTTAAGGGGGAAGTGGTAAACCCATGGGGATCATATAATGCCTGAGGATTGGGAGGCAATCTGGCTTATTCAAGGAAGGGGAAGACATTCAATTCCATGGATTAAGAGCCAGCATCAAGGACCCTCCCTTGAAGGTTACATAAAAAATTTGGCTCATTTTGTGGCTGCAATGTAGAGAGGCATGCATTTGCCTTTTTTATTTTTTTATTTTTTATATATCCTAAGCTTGTACAGGTAGTGGTGAAGCGAGATGAACATACCGAGTACAGTTTAGCCATCCACATCTGGTGCTTCAAAGAGGGTGCCTCCATGCTAGTGAAGGGTACTTGATCAAAGGAATCAGTCCTCCTCCCCTTTGAATCAAACCTGCCCCTTATTCTAAAGTAAAATATAGATTACAGGTTTAGAAACTTGCTTCCCCATGAACATAAATCTGTATACAGTAATGACGGTATTATTTTTTTGTGATACTTTCTGCAGTGTTTTCTCTCAAGAATACATAACGTTCAAGTGGGGTGCCTTGATGCTGCCGAAGCCCCATTGGATCCTAAGAACTGGGGCTGCCCTCCTCCTCTGATCAAATCTGATTATCCCCCCCACACCCTCTAATTCCCAGGTGCTCTATGATCCTTATTGCTTTCACCTGAATATATTACATGTCTCCTGTATTATGCATATTTTTGGGTAGTTAATCCAAAAATTTTGATATCCATGAATTTTTATTCAAGGAATCAGCCTAATACAGTACAAATTAGCAGCTGTTGTTATTAACAAAATGCTTAAAAAAAATTCCTGTTAAAAAATAAATTTTAAAACAAGGGTATAAAGTGGTCATTACTAGTAAAAACTGAGAAAGTTTGTGGTACATTTTTACTGCCACTCTTGCTACCCCTCGAGGATACTATCTTAATTACCTTCGAAGTATTACCACGTCAAGTGGAAGGCATGTTTTGTTTTTTATTTTGGCAAAGCCTTCGCTCGTGTCGAAGTTTGGTCCAGATGCCATGACACATGTTCATTAACTTCTTATCTCTTACTTCCTCTGGTAAAGACTTGGCCCAATGGTATTCATTTTTTATCACTGCTGCTGCTAACTGTTAAGAAAATAAAGATTCAATAAGCACAGGTAAGTTAAAGTATGCATGGCTTTTACTTTCAACTATGGTAAAAAAAAAAAAATGTATAGTTATCTCCTACCTAAAAATACAGTTTAATGTAAAAAGAAAAAAAAAAAAAAAGAAGATTCGTGATGATCCCTCTCAAGGGAGGATTATTGATGCCACTGAGGTGCCCTTAATCTAAGGAATTAGAAGTGTCTTCTTCCTTGGATCAAACCTGATTGCCTTCCATTTCCCAGGTACTGTAAAGCTCTTATGGGTTTAGCACTTACTCATAAATAAAGCAGTAATGCCAATAACTGTGGCAATCAATAGTCCAAGTCATAAGTGATAAGTTAAAAAAAAAAAATGGACCAGGGTGCAACCAAACTTTTATGGATCAATCAGCAGTTTTAACACAGAAAATACAAGAAAATCACCATGACACCTGCAAATTCACTGTTTCCACATGCTGTAGCAGTGCTGTATAACTGGTGGGTTTAGTGCTTAGTTATGATTATAATAATTACATTCACTAAGGAAGCGATAAAACCATACCGGTTATAAAAACCCAGGAGGGAATCATGTTCAATCCAAAGAGGGAGGATTGGTCCAATTCCCTGGACCAAGAGCCCCTTACCAGCATCATGGCACTTTCCTTGATTAGTCCATATTATTATTTTTTTTTTTTAACATGTTGGCTGTTTCCAACTATAATCATAACTAAGCACTAAATCCATAAGGGTCATACAACACTCCCAAGGGATCCATATACAGTGGACCCCCGCCTTACGATCAGCTCCCAACTCAAACAATTATGTAAGGCTCTTGATTTAGGGAATTGGATCTGTGCTCCAGTTCCCCGAATTAAGCCTGAATGCCTTCCACATCCCCCCTCCCCTGGGCGCTGTATAATCCTACGGGTTTAGCGCTTCCCCCTTGATTATAATAATAATAATATGTAAGTGTATTTTTTAAGTGCTTTTGTACATGTATTTTTGGGGGGTCTGAAACGGACTAATCTAATTTACAATATTCCTTATGGGAACAAATTCGTTCGATAACGGCACCCGAACAGACTTCTGGAATGAATTAATATCGTAAGTCAGGGGTCCACTGTATATGGTAATGTCTTTAATACCCAAAATGCTGTGTACAAAGGGCTTCTTAAATTGTCATCAAATCCAAATCTACCTATATAAAGTAGCACTCTGTAATTTATTTTCTGTAAAACTGTGTAATATTAAGATTCTTATTACAGCATATTCATGAGCAAGTGGCACTTAACCCACAGAGATCATGTAGCATCTAAGGAATGACAAGCAATCAGATCTGATCTGAGGAAGAGGAGGGTAGCTCCAATTCTTTGGGTCAAAAGCCCTTCACCAGCATCAAAGGGAACATGAAGAATAAAATTTTTGCTTGTATTTTGGTATGAAAACAGCACTTACAGTACTATAAGGAGTCATGCAAGATCAAAATCATCCTAGAACAAAGTCACCTTGAACCAAAAGTTTTATAATTAATAATTTCAAACAAGATACTGAATTTAAACCCAAATTATTTCTCTATAATGGTTAATGTTACACAAACATTAGACTCCCAACTAATTTAAACTTCCAGCACATTAAAAAAAGGGAAGTTCAGTACTCTCAGAAATGTGTGAATTTTTTTTTTTTTTTTTTTTTAATTAATAATGGTGCTCAACTTTATCATAAACTATATACAGTGGACCCCCACATAACAAATGTGACCAATTATGTAAGTGCGCTTGTACGTGTATGTTTGGGGGTCTGAAATGGACTAATCTACTTCACAATATTTCTTATGGGAACAAATTCGGTCAGTACTGGCACCTGAACATACTTCTGGAGTGAAAAAATATCGTTAACCGGGGGTCCACTGTATTCTTGGCGATGTTTAAACCTTCAGGGGTCATGCAGTGCCTGAGAGAATGGACTCATTCAGGTCTGAATCACAGAAGGAAAAGGTAAGTCTAATTCCTTGAACCAAGAGCCCCTCACTGTCATCAAGGAACTTCTTTTAAGGGGTCTCATAAGCCTAGCCTCTTCTATCTCAATACATGCTAAGGAAATAGTAGTTCAGTGTTGCACATGTTTCTAATGCAATGGAGTATCAGCACTTAAGATTTGAAACTATAACAACAACAACAGCAACAATCACAAACCTTTTACTAAGATACACAATCTTTGAAAGTTCAACCCTAATGCCAGTGAAGAACTCATTTCTCAAGAAACTGGAGCTACCTTCCACTTCCTTTAATCAACCCTGATGCCTCTCATTCCCCAAGCACTGTATGATGCTATGGGTTCAGCACTTGTCCATAAATATAATGGAAACACTGATAGTTCTTTATACTGTACAAGAAAAAAGAAACAAGAGAGTGTAAGAATTATAGGAGTACAAATCTGCTGAGTATACCTGGTAAACTGAATGGCATAATTATTATTCAGAGTAAGGGGTATGACAAAGTAGGATTGCAGTGGAGAAGGAAAGGCAGGTTATGTGTAGACAGCAGATTGATGTATAGAAATATTGACACTGAAACATACAAGTTAACATAAAGGTAAGGAACTGTTTTCTTGGATTTATGGATTTAAAAAAGGCATATACTGTACTAGAATGGACTGGGGGTAGCAATGTGGAAGATGTTGCAAACGTATGGAATAGGTGGTAGGTTACTAAAAGTTGTAGTTTTTATGCAGGTAGTAAGGCTTGGGTTAAGGTATACAGGAGACAGACAATTCCCAAGTAAAATGAGGCCATTTCCCACCAAGGCAGGGTGGCCCGAAAAAGAAAAACTTTCATCATCATTCACTCCATCACTGTCTTGCCAGAAGCATGCTTACACTACAGTTATAAAACTGCAATGTTAACACCCCTCCTTCTGAGTGCCGGCACCGTACTTCCCATCTCCAGGAATCAAATCTGGCCTGCCGGTTTCCTTGAATCCCTTCATAAATGTTACCTTGCTTACACTCCAACAGCACATCAAGTCAAATCCTAAAAATCATTTGTCTCCATTCGCTCCTGTCTAACACGCTCATGCACGCTTGCTGGAAGTCCAAGCCCCTCGCAAACAAAACCTCCTTTACCCCCTCCCTCCAACCTTTCCTATGCCGACCCCTACCTCGCCTTCCCTCCACTACAGATTTACACACTCTCGAAGTCATTCTATTTCATTCCATCCTCTCTTCATGTCCAAATCATCTCAGTAACCCCTCCTCAGCCCTGTGGACAATAGTTTTGGTAATCCCACACCTCCTCCTAATCTCCAAACTATGGATTCTCTGCATTATATTCAGTTGTTCTTTGCTCATAATTTTGGGAGGGTATGTGCAAGAATGAAATTAAAATTGAACAAAGAAAAGAACAAGGTGATAGGAATAACAAAAAGACTAGGCAATAAAAGAATGGTTATCAGATTGGAGGGAGAAAGGAATCTAAGATAAGTGACAAGTAATTTACAGAGGAAATAAGAATGTGCAATCATAATTAGTTTGTTGCTGCATTCAATGTTATCCTTTTCTACTGAAAACTGTATTAAGACTTGGATTAAGAGAGCATTTTAAGTCAGTAATTTGTTCCTCAGTATATAAATGTACATTTTACTATCCTTAATATCTATACATGTATCTATCCAGAATGCTTGTATAGTATTTATCATGACTTGATTAGTATGTTACATTTGAGTGTGATGCTGTCTTACCTTAAACTTAAGCTTCTGAATGAGGGATATCGCAGCATAGAGTTTACATCGAGAGACAATGCCAGGATCACCCAGGCGGATTGCAATATCTAACTGCTTCAAGGATATTGCTCCTGCTCTTTCTGCAAAATGAGAGCTATAATCTCCAAGTGCAGAGCATGCACCACCCAGGGTAGAGAGCCATGACATGACAGTATCAAGGTGCTGTCTTTCTTGAGCACAAAGATTCATTCGAGCGCACCATTCATAATCAATAATATAGGGTACAGAATCTTTCAAAGTCCACCAAATTAACAAATGGCCTTTACATTTCTTTACTACAGCTTGAGAATATTTCTGCTTAAATGTTAATATCCATTGTTGAAATACTAAGAATTTATATCTATCTGAATTTAGTAATTCTTTTAAAAAGACTGAAAAATGTAAGCCTTCACTGTGACACTTTAGTTGAGGAATTTCTTTGGAAAGTTTTCTAATATTTAATCTTATCCCCTTACTAATGCAATGACTGCCAAAAAGTTCCTGGTTATCATCCAAAAAACAGCTTTGCCTGCAACAAAATACTGTCATACAAGGATTGTTTGAGTCTTTTTCATTGTGTTGATCTTGAAGTGTCCACTCAGACTTTTTTCTATTACGAGCTATTACGGTATTTTGAGTTACTGATAGCATGTCCCAATAAGAATTACCAGCAAGCACCACCACATGCACCACACTTGCCATCTTGGGGTCCTGGTAGGAAGGAACACAAAATTTACTATGTATATGTATTCAGAATAGTGTTAAGTACTGTACTGTACAATTATAAGCTTAAGTTTATAACCTCAACATCACATTTCATGCTGTACTAAAAATCCCTTAAAGAGGGAGGGGGGTAGGACCCCTTAATGTCAGTGAAGAGCTTTTGATTCAAGGAACTGGAGTTACCCTCCCCTTTCTTGGATAAAACCTGATAGCTTCCCATTCCCCCAGGTGCTGTATTACCCCTTTGAGTTTACACTTCCCTATAAATATAAAAACATATGTATCATGCACAAAAAAAAGCTTAAAGGTCTTCAATTTTTTTTTTATAAAGGTTTAAGGCATGTGGTTAAAACTTATATTTATCGTTCATTACATAACTATGCAAAGCAGTAATTTCAGAATTACACACAAACTAAGAACATAAGAAAGAAGGAACACTGCAGCAGGCCTATTGGCCCATGCGAGGCAGGTCCAATTCCCCCACCGGCTTAAGCCAATGTCTTGACCTGGTCAGGTCAGTCACATTCACTTAAGGGAGGAATATGGCATCCGACCCAGTAGCACAAGCTAGTCAGGTCCAACTCACACCCACTCATATATTTATCTAACCTATTTTTAAAACTACACAACGTCTTAGCTTCTATGACGGTACTCGGGAGTTTGTTCCACTCATCCACAACTCTATTACCAAACCAGTCCTTTCCTATATCCTATGAAGGTAAGATATATGGTAGCTACACAGTACAGTATAGAGCACTATGACAGACACTAAAAGAAAACAGACAACATGGGGATGTACTGTACATGTCTGTGTCTTACAGATAATCATGTGTGATAGTCTGTAATTTCAATATAGTACTCTATAAAAATTTAATATACTGCATATGTCCAAATAAAGAAGAAAAAATACAACAATGAAAGAAATACAGTATGTACATTGTACAACTATAAATAAAAACCTAATATGTAATTTCAGCACTGAAATTTTCAAGAAAATTGAATCACAGAATTCTACACGAATATATCCTTTAAATTATTATAATCAAAAAAGAAATATATCCTTTAAAACAGATTAGAAATGTTATTACTATTACTCACGTAGAAGAATAATGTTATAAGAATTTTCCGCTATTATTATTACAATAAAAAAGAAAAGATAAACCCACACACAGCTTTCTGCTGCCTGGTTGTTGTTGTTGTTGTTGTTGTTGGTTTATCAGGGCCACTGACAGTATAAGCCGTATCAAGTCCGGTTTCTCGATGGTACGAGGAAGATTTGTTGCCCAAGGCTGGGCGATGAAAGAAAAGGGAACAAAAGTTCCTTTGTAAATAGAGATAGAAACTTGAAGTTTCCAATTAGATCCGGTGGACGCCCTTGCCAAGCCTCAGCAGAGAGGGATGCCCACACTCCCACCTGAGTTCAGTAACCGGCTTCCCACCAAAGACCGTTAAAGAATTTTCCGCAGTGCGGAAAAATGGAGCTGGCTTAAAGTAAGCCGATGCACAGGTGCCTCTCCTGTAGAGTCCGGCGGGCAAAATAGACGAGTAGAAACGTCCCCGAGAGAACGGTGGAAATTTGTCACTGATACACAGGCGAGAGAGAGACGTCCACACCCGACGAAGGCTGACGCAGAAGTCCTTCTGCTGCCTGACCAAGTTGTTGTTGTTGTTGGGTTGTTAAGGTCCACCAAAACTTATGTCTTATTGAGCTTTGCCTCCTGGGAGTCCGGGGCAAATAAGTTAATTTAGGTACAGGTATACATAAATACAGTTACACAAATTACCATACACAAGTAATATATGTGTAAATTACCTAGGATAACCCAGGGTAGGGAGGGGTTAGCCACTCAGGATTACCTGGGGTAGGGAGGGTTAAACACCCAGGATCACCCGGAGTAAGGAGTCCTGCCACCCAGAATAACCCGGTGTAGGGAGGGATAACCACCCTGAATCACCCGGGGTAAGGGGGGATAGTCATGCAAAATAATCCGGAGTAGGGAGGGATAGCCATCTAGGATAACCCGGAGTAGGGTGGGTTAGTTACCCAGGATAACCCAAGAAACTCAGTTTATCATCGAGGGGTGTCTGTCTTATTTCCATTGTGGTCCTTCAATCTTGTCCCCCAGGATGCCACCCGCACCAGTCCACTAACACCCAGGTACGTACTTACTACTAGGTAAACAGGGACAGCATGTGTAAGGAAACATGCTCAACGTTCCACCCGGTAGGGAATTGAACCACGGACATTCAGTGTGTGAGGCCAGAGCGTTGCCAACCGAGCCACAGGACACATAAACATTGGTGAAAAATATAAAGGAAGCAAAATTTCCTCCAGAAAGGGAAACAGGAACAATAAGTTACCATTTAGCTCAGGTGGACCCTACTGCATGACTTCCGAGAAGCCAGACAGGTAGGAGAACCAACAAACAAAACGACAGGAGCGGAATTTCATATCTAGGAGCACACTTAGCTCTGCCCGAAATGTTCCGCATACTAGTGACTTTCTTTGAGTTTAACAATATTTTATTACATGTAAAACTACATTTTGTATACTGCAGAAAGAAGTAAAGTTTGTTATGTGGAAGCTCTGCTTCAAAGGGGAATCATCAAGTCAGACCCAGACTATCCCTCTAACTCCAGTCCCCGTCCCTTCCCTCTCAAACACAATAACTCAAAATGAATCATACTTTACCCACGTCCTACCCTACCTATATCCACATACCTAACTCCTATCAGTGCAGAATGCCCGAAATGATTTGTACAAACGGTCATGGACCGGGCCAAGGGGACGTTGACTCTCGGTACACCCTCCAGATATACCATCTCTCACCCCATCCTCAAGCCCACTTTCCCTTGGTTCCCTACCGTTTCCATCATTCTTCACCCACACTCATGGTATCCACCCTACCAATGCAATATCCACCAACCAAACAACCAGTCACTACACTTACCTCCAACCTCCAAGAAAGCAGGGACACAAAAACCATAGCATAAAAGCAGAAAGGAACTTGGAAGTGTGGAGTTAAGAGTAGATGCGTGGACTAAACAGAGATGGGTCGAATGACTGCATAATAAAGGTACTCAGAACTGGGGGACCCAAGATGGTGATAGCAGTGATATACAACCCGCTACTAAACTGCAGGAGACCGAGACAGGAATATAATAACAAGGACCCCAATGGAAATTAGTCACTAACTTTTTTGGGTTATCCTAGGTTCTCTACACATATGCTGCTACGTATAATCTATATAACTGTGTGTATACCTGAATAAACTTACTTAACAATAAGGCATTGGTGGATACGACAGTGGAGGTGGCGAGATTCCACACGGGAAATGCAAAACTACTAATCATGGAAGACTTCATCCATATGGAAATACACTGGAAAAATATGGAGCCACATGTGGGACCGGATACATGAAGATCTAAGTTGTTGGAGGTGGCAGGTTAGGCACACAACTATAGAGAGAGGTGGTGACAATGTCCAGCTTACGTTGGAGTGCGTGCTACCTCCCTACCTAGAGTGTATTACAATTACTGGGAGCACTTGAGGTTCCTGAACCTGTATTTCCTGGAACGCAGGCGGGAGAGATACATGATTATATACACCTGGAAAATCCTAGAGGGACTAGTACCGAACTTGCACATGAAAATCACTCACTACGAAAGCAAAAAACTTGGCAGACGATGCAACATCCCCCCAATGAAAAGCAGGGGTGTCACTAGCACGTTAAGAGACCATACAATAAGTGTCAGGGGCCCGAGACTGTTCAACTGCCTCCCAGCATACATAAGGGGGATTACCAATAGACCCCTGGCAGTCTTCAAGCTGGCACTGGTCAAGCACCTAAAGTCGGTACCTGACCAGCCGGGCTGTGGCTCGTACGTTGGTTTGCGTGCAGCCAGCAGTAACAGCCTGGTTGATCAGGCTCTGATCCACCAGGAGGCCTCGTCACAGACCGGGCCGCGGGGGCGTTGACCCCCGGAACTCTCTCCAGGTAAACTCCAGAGGTAAGTAGGCAAGCGCCAAAGCCTGATTAATCAGGTTATCAACCTAGGGAAGGGAGATTACCACTGGAAGTGCTTGTGATTGATGTAGGGAACATTGAATACAAGAGGCTCCTCGGTGCCAGCAACCATGAAGTACCGAGATTCGATTACCTTATGATAATGAACGCGAAGAGAAATGTAAAGTATGAAGGAAGGAAAGAAGGAAGTAAGAACGAAAGGAAAGAAGAGAAAGCAAGGAAGGATAAACTTGACTTTAAAAGAAGCGACTATGCAGGCATGAGGCAATTCCTAAGTGGATTGCCGTGGAAAGGGAGCTGGATGGAAAGTGAACGAAATTATGGAATATATAGCTGGAAAGTGCCGCATGGCAGAGGAGAAATTCATACCCCAGAAGAAGCTGCACAGACAAGAACAGAGTGAGCTCATGATTTACCCAGAAGTGCAAGGCGGCAAAGGCTAAAAGTGCAAGAATGTGGAAGAAATGTAGAAAGCAAAGAATGCCGGAGAACAGAGAAGCGAGTAGAACCAAAAAATGAATACTCATAGGTAACAAGAGAGGCTGAATAACAATTTGAGAATGACACAGTATGCCTGGAGTATACCTAGACCGTGTTACGGGGGTCAACGTCCCCCGCTGCCCGGTCCATGACCAGGCCTTGTGGTGGATCAGGGCCTGATCAACCAGGTTGTTATTGCTGGAAGCATACAAACCGGTTATGAACCACAGCCCGGCTGATCAGGTACTGACTTTAGGTGCCTGTCCAGTTTCCTCTTGAAAACAGTCAGGGGTTCATTGTGTTATAATAGAGTACTCATGGCACAAAGAAAAATATACGTTCCTATACAGTCACAACAGGAAGAAGACAACTGTGAAGGACCTGGTCATAAAGCAGAGGGAGGAAGGAAGGAAGGAAGGAAGGAAGGAAGAAAGGAAGGAAGGAAGGAAGGAGGAGAGCTCACAAGCAACGATCACGAAGTCTGTGAGCAGCTGAACAATAGATTTAGGGTAACATTCTCAGTCGTATCATGAACATTGCCAGGGTGTCAAAGAAGGATAGTGCACCAACTAGTACTGGACACAATACATACAACGGGAGGTAAAGAAGCTACTGGGTGAGCTAGATACCTAGAAGGATTCTGGGTGAAGTCTAGAAAACAGCGAATCTAGTTCCGATGTTTTAAAAAGGAGAGACAGGTGACTCTAGACTACAGGGTAAAGGTATGGAGAAGATTATCATAAGAGTAGTGTAGCACTTGGAAAGGAGCTTTCTGTGATACAGTGGTAAACAATCTGTCATCTCTCACCTACTAGTCATCTCTCACCCACCAGTCATCTCTCACCCACCCGTTCTCTCACACCACCTGTCATCTCTCACATAACCTGTTATCTGTCACGTCACCTGTCATTTCTTACATTGTTTTGGATTGATCCTTTAAAGTGGCACTTCGTAATAACATTACGCATTTGTATATACCTTCTTGATCACATTTGGATATGTGAGTATGTATCTGTTGTTGTATTGCGCCACTGTAGCAAGTATAGGGATATACACCATGAGCTGTGTATCTCTGTGCCTGCGCGCTGAAATGTATATATCTGTGTATATACACACTGAGATGTGTCTGTTAATACACACCCCTAGATGTGAGTCTTTGTGTATACACACAACAAAATGTGTATTATGCAAGCTCACCTGTATACCAAAGAATATTTTAATATATAAACCAGATTTAAGCAACTTCCGTGTATATACAGAGAGAGATATACACGTGGCGACGTATATACTGTGTTGTAGAGGTCTGTGTCTTGCGGGGACTGGTTGGTGGAGTTAAAAGTCTATCTATCGATTACTCGTGCGTGGAACTGCAGTGGCCCCGAACACTGACAACACACACACACAAAAAGAAGAAAGAGTTAATCACTAAAACATATATTAAACTCTCGGCGAATATACACCGAAAAACATATGCCTATCAGCGTATATACTGTGTTGTAGAGGGGTAACTGTGTCATGTGGAGGACTGCGTCATGGTGGTATATACTGACACCTCACTGAGCTCTTACCTGCCAGTTCACTCGGCTGTTTCATCTCACTGCATGTTTGTCGAGTTTTCTAAAGGGTTTTGGTGCTAATCTCAGACTCAGCATTAAGGGTGAGCTCAGAGCATTGAGAGTTTTCCAGTGATTATTAAAGTGCCTCCAGCCTGGTGGTATTAACAGAGGATGTTAGTTCAGGTGGTAGTGTGTGGAATGTATTGGGGCGGGTCTGGTCCTGGCTCACACAATCCCAGTGCTCACCAGTCCACACAACACACCACAAATACTCATCGCTTGCACTCACCTTCCAAGGTAAATTACAAAAGAATGCCTTTGTATTTTACTGTATTCATGACATATTTTAAGGCATAAGTGAACTGCGGTATATTAGGGTGGTAAGGCAGCATCAACATACTGCAGTTGCTTCAGAAGCAGCCAGCAGTGGCAACTCTGAAGTCATAATTGAATTAAATTTAGGCTCACCAGTTTTGGAGTGATGCTTGGGTTGGAGGGGAAGAAGCCTCAGTGAGAATTTATGTTCGCTGATATACACCTACTCTATCGGGAGTTAAATATTCCACATGAAAAGTGAAATGAAATTTTTCTGAATGAGGTCAGCGATCAGAGAATGACGCTGGGAAACGCTTTTTTTTTTTTTTTTATTTTCCCGTCCAGGGAATCTATTCAGCAGCGCAGCGAGTCACACCACTTGGCTACAGCTGTTGGCAACGCGTACAAAACGAATGGTGTAAAAAATAAGGGTCATATATACTGTAGGTAAAGCACCGGGAGACGACTGTGCTGTGTAAATACTGACACACTGGCACTATAATGCAATATACAAACCTTATATTTTCGTTCAGGCAGGAATATATTCAAGACATTAACTTGAAATATTTGTACGAAGGACTGTGATGTAATGCTGATATAATTGTTATCCTTGAGGCACTAGTCATACATAAACTTAAAATGAATGATGTCCAGAAATGGTGCGGTCAGCAGTAACAGCCTGGTTGATCAGACCCTGATCCACCATGAGACCTGGTCTCAGACCGGGCCGCGGGGGCGTTAACCCCCGTAACCCTCTCCAGGTAAACTCCAGGTAACACACACACACACACACACACACACACACACACATATATATATATATATATATATATATATATATATATATATATATATATATATATATATATATATATATATATATATATATATATATATATATATATATGTCGTGCCGAATATGTAAAACTGGTCAATTAGCAAGAACTCATTTAAAATTAAGTCCTTTCTAAAATTTTCTCTTATACGTTTAAAGATATATTTTTTTCATTAATGTTAATGTAAAAATTTTTAATTTTGCACCAAAAGAATCTTAGAAAACTTACCTAACCTTATTATAACAAGAACAATTTATCTTAGCCTAACCCAACTATATATATTTTAGATTTGTTTATAATAATTTAATACTAAACAAACACAGTGAAACATTTTTTTTCGTTAGGTTCAGAATGATTTTGGCGAAATTATTGCATACACAAATTTTCACTTGTCCTATATGGCAAGATGAGCGTTGCTATTTAAGCCAAGATAGCAAGTTCTGCCTATTCGGCACGACATATATATATATATATATATATATATATATATATATATAATATATATATATATATATATATATATATATTATATATATATATATATATATACATATATATACACATACATATACACATACATATATATAATCACATTCCCGTCTCCAGAAGAGTGGCATAACGAATACATATACAGAATATGTAAAACGTTATTGGAGACAGTTGAATTTTTATAAGGAGAGTGAGGCTGTGATTATAAAGAATGTAGGAAAGAAGAAGCATGATTTCCAGTTTTCAATATATGTAAGTCTTAGACAAGAATGCGTCATCATGTCGCTCTGATTGTTGAGTGTGTTTATAGGTGGACTTTTAAGGGAGGTGAAAGCTAAGTGTCAGGGAGGAGGTGTGATCTTGTAAGATCATATATGTGATATACAGCGGGAGTTGTCACACTTAGTCTTTTTGGATGACGCAATGATAGCGGGTTACATTCCTTTGAGGAGTTGCAGGGACTGGAGGTACAGTTTGGAAGTGTGTGTGTGTACACGAAGATGAAACCAAGTTAGGGCACATAGAAGAGAAATTTACTAGCTTGTGACTTTGTAACTGGTCCAAATCGGACCGAAACGTCGTGGTAAGCTCCTCTATGTGCGGGTTATCTGTGTATTGTTCCAGTCACGATATTGTGCTTTTTAGTTCTTAATGGGTAATATATGCAATAAATGGAAAACTGGAAATCAAATTGAAAGTAAAGTGTATAAGGTGAGTGAATGTATTCAGATACTTGGAAGTCTAAAATAAAATAATTATGGCAATTCACATATTGCATAAGTCAACTAGGTATGTATGTACTAGGTACTCAAATAATTGTGGTTGCAGGGGTCGAGACTCAGCTCCTGGCCCCTTCTCTTCACTGATCGCTACTAGGTCTTCTCTGCTCCGTGAGCTTTGTCATACCTCGTCTTAAAGCTATGTATGGTTCTTGCCTCCACTGCATGTGTGTGTGTGTGTGTATGTGTGTGTGTGTGTGTGTGTGTGTGTGTGTGTGTGTGTGTGTGTGTGTGTGTGTGTGTGTGTGTGTGTGTGTGTGTGTGTGTGTGTGTACGTACTCACCTATATGTGATTGTAGGGTCGAGTCATAGCTCCGGACTCCACGTTTTTGCTGGTCGCTACTAGGTCCACTTTCTCCCTGCTCCAAAAGCCTTACCGTACTCACCTAGTTGTGGTTGCAGGAGTCAAGTCACAGCTCCTGGCCCCGCCTCTTCACTGGTCGCTACTAGGTCACGTTTCCTGCTCCATGAGCTTTATCATACCTTATCGTATGTGTGTGTGTGTGTGTATTCACCTATTTGTACTCACCTATTTGTGGTTGCAGGGGTCGAGTCTTAGCTCCTGGCCCCGCCTCTTCACCGGTTGCTACTGGATCCTTTCTCTCCCCGCTCCATGAGCTTTATCAAACCTCGTCTTAAAACTATGTGTGGCATGCAAAGAGTACGTAACCTTTATTCGGCGCATGTACACACCCTCATTCAACCAGCGAACCAGGTGACTGAGGGTTGACGATGGGGCCCCGTCGTTCAACCAGTAACCAGGTTCCAGCCAATAAGAAGATGGTTTTGGCAATCGCAGAGGTTATGTGGGTACCACTCTCCGGTCTGCCCTTGTCATTCCCATTCTAGAGCTGGTTGAAGCACGGTCTGCTCTCTAGTGGCTTCTATTCTGCCTTGCTTACCGTGGAGTGCACTAATACCTATCGCTGTATATAGTGTACATACTTCTGTTCTAAACTGGTGAAGGATAATATAAGTCAAAACTTTTCTGCTGTGTTTACTTTGCTCCCTTTACACCCAGGATAACAGGCCATTTGGACTCCTGGGCTGTAATACTATGTATGGCTCCTGCCTCCACTACATCACTTTCTAGGCTATTCCACTGCCTGACAACACTATGACTGAAGAAATACTTCCTAATATCTCTCTGACTCATCTGTGTCTTCAACTTCCAATTGTGACCTCTTGTTTCTGTGTCCCCTCCCTTGAACATCCTGTTTTTGTCCACCTTGTCTATTCTGCGCAGTATTTTATGTCGTTATCCCCTCAGGGAAGGTTCCTTGATGTTGGTGAGGGGCTCTTGATTTAGGGAATTGAATCTGTGCTCCAGTTCCCCGAATTAAGCCTGAATGCCTTCCACATCCCCCCAAGGCGCTGTATAATCCTACGGGTTTAGCGCTTCCCCCTTGATTATAATAATAATAATTATGTCGTTATCATGTCTCCCCTGACCCTCCTGTCCTCTAGTGTCGTCAGGCCGATTTCCCTTAACCTTTCTTCGTAGGACATCCCCCTTAGCTCTGGAACTAACCTTGTCGCAAACCTTTGCACTCTCTAGTTTCTTGACGTGCTTTATCAAGTGCGGGTTCCAAGCAGGTGCTGCATACTCCAGTATGGGCCTGGCGTACACGGTGTACAGTGTCTTGAACGATTCCTTATTAAGGTATCGGAACGCTGTTCTCAGGTTTGCCAGGCGCCCATATGCTGCAGCAGTTACCTGGTTGATGTGTGCTTCCGGAGACATGCTCGGTGTTATACTCACTCCAAGATATTTCTCCTTGTGTGTGTGTGTGTGTGTGTGTGTGTGTGCTCAATTGTACTCACCTAACTGTGGTTGCAGGGGTCGAGACTCGGCTCCTGGCCCCGCCTCTTCACTGAACGCTACTAGGTCCTCTCCCTCTCTGCTTCCTGAGCTTTGTCATACCTCTTCTTAAAACTATGTATGGTTCCTGCCTCCACTACTTCACTTGCTAGGCTATTCCACTTCCTGACGACTCTATGACTGAAGAAATACTTCCTAACGTCCCTGTGACTCGTCTGAGTCTTCAGCTTCCAATTGTGACCCCTTGTTTCTGTGTCCCCTCTCTGGAACATCCTGTCTCTGTCCACCTTGTCTATTCCCCGCAGTATCTTGTATGTCGTTATCATGTCTCCCCTGACCCTTCTGTCCTCCAGTGTCGTCAGTCCGATTTCCCTCAAACTTTCCTCATACGACATTCCCCTGAGCTCTGGAACTAGCCTTGTTGCAAACCTTTGTACTTTCTCTAACTTCTTGACGTGCTTAACCAGGTGTGGGTTCCAGACTGGTGCTGCATACTCCAGTATGGGCCTAACATACACAGTGTACAGTGTCTTGAACGATTCCCTATTAAGGTATCGGAACGCTATTCTCAGGTTTGCCAGGCGCCCGTATGCTGCAGCAGTTATTTGGTTGATGTGTGCCTCCGGTGACGTTCTCGGTGTTATGGTCACCCCAAGATCTTTCTCATTGAGTGAGGTCTGTAGTCTTTGTCCACCTAGCCTATACTCTGTCTGCGGTCTTCTTTGCCCCTCCCCAATCTTCATGACTTTGCATTTGGTAGGGTTGAATTCGAGAAGCCAGTTTCTGGGCCACGTGTCCAGCCTGTCCAGGTCTCTTTGCAGTCCTGCCTCATCCTCATCCGATTTAATTCTTCTCATCAACTTCACATCTGCGAATAGGGACACTTCAGAGTCTATTCCTTCCATCATGTCGTTCGCATATATCAAAAATAGCACTGGTCCTAGAACTGACCCCTGTGGGACCCCGCTCGTCACAGGCGCCCACTGTGTGTGTGTGTGTGTGTGTGTGTGTGTGTGTGTACAGTATAAAAGTTCGTCATAATGAGCAACTGTCACTGAATAACCAGAAAAATGGACGGGAACTCGAACCGCGGTCCTGGTACATAGGCCCAAGGCTGTACCGCTGAGCCACGTAATCTACAATAAGGAGATTTTGAACAAACAACATTTCTGTGACATGTTTATACCAGGGGCACCAACTGTGACCCTTTTGTGTATTCATACACACTGGAATTTGACTTTAATCCATATTTTAGGATAACAGCATTCCTGGTGATAGCAAACGAGTAAATTACAGCCTTAATGACTCACTTAGTAGACAGAGGATTATGTTAATAGTGGAATGGTCCCAGGAAGATAATGAGGTCAATAAGTTACCTATTCCCAGGGCAGGAGCAAAGATACTCTTAAATATCAACAGCCAACACACACGTCCCTGATGCCGTATTCTGTTGTTTACGTTCTTGAACACAGAATCTGAAATCCGGATTATATATTTTTTGTTGTTTACGTTCTTGAACACAGAATTTGAAATCCTTCATTTAGTTTAAAAATATTTACCGCGTTCATGTACACCTTAACTGCAAACTCCCCCCCCCCCCAAAAAAAAAGAGATAAGTTACATTATTTTTTTTTAAGGCAGGATGGACGTGGAGCCAGGCAGCGAGGTGGAGCCAGGTAGAGAGGTTGATCCAGCAGGTGAGGTCAGGTCAGACTGCCAGGATGGGCCAGACGTGCTGGGCGAGGCTGAGCTGGTGGTGGACCTGGCTCTTCTAAAGAAGGGCTTCTCCCAGAGCCCCGAGGGTCAACTCCAACTTCAGGGCTACCTTGACGCTTACACTGAGATGAACAAGTAATACTACCTGGGATTTATATAATACTGCCTGGGATTTATGTACTACCTGGGATTTATATAATGGTACCTTGGATTTATATTATTATATGCCTTATAGCATGTGTGACTCCATATCTTTTTTAATAGAATTAAATTTTCAATGATAAAAAAAGTAGTAAATTTTTAATATGCTGATAGTAATAACTATATGTAACTCAATAACAATATTGAGAGAGAGAGAGAGAGAGAGAGAGAGAGAGAGAGAGAGAGAGAGAGAGAGAGAGAGAGAGAGAGAGAGAGAGGTTTCCAGCATCACAATTAAATTTTAATCTCACGTATACAAACACATTCCATTTTGGTTTATACTTCCCGCTTCCACATTTTTTTTTTTAAATTTAATGTGGGGCGCATACACATCCTGGGGGCGGAAGTCAATAGATTACCGAGGGTCATAATGTCGAGCAGTGTCCAGGTTGGTGAGAGGTCACAGCTGTCACTGTGACCATTCATCACAGCTGTCACTGTCATGATGGAATAGTGTTGACATCTGATGTATAGACATACCTGGTCATGGGCAAAAATAACTACCACCCACAGGATGGGTATGTGACTACTACCCACAGGATGGGTATGTGATCACCCACAGGATGAGTAGTGGTTAGTTTTATTATGCACATGATACCCATGCTGTGGGCGGTAGTTCAGAGATTACAGAGGGATAATGAGTACATGAACTGGGCACCCACGTAACAGCAGCTACACAAGTTACATTGATAATGAACTACTTACAACTTCATGATCTGCGTACGGTCGTAATATTTAGTAATACAGGAGGGCCCCGCATATACAGCGCCTTTTTTCGATGTTCCACGTTTTCGTCGGCTTCAAATTGAGCCTTGTTCATTATGTTCCGCTCGCCGGCGGGTGGAACATAATGACTCAGATAAGATTTTGTTCGGAATTTTAACCCCGGAGGGTTAGCTTCCCAGCATAAAACAAGAAAGTCAGTGTGTCATCAAGGAATGTTTTCTCTTATTTCCATTGGGGTCCTCAATCTTGTCTCCCAGGATGCTACCCACACCAGTCCACTAACACCAAGGTACCTACTTATTTGCTAGATGACCGGGGACAGCAGGTGTAAGGAAACACGCCTTGAAAGCCAACGAAAACGCTGTATATGCGAGTCCTCTTGTCCATCCATGGGGTAGATAATACAGCTATCAGAACCAACACATTTACGCACAAGCTATAACTAATTTGATTAAAACAATTTGTTTCTCTCGCCAGATTTTTTCAGATCATGGGCCCGCTGTTTCAAGTTGTCTCCAGCGATGTGCAGTCAAAAGTAAGCAAGCATTTACTGCTATTTAAAAAAATATATATGTTAAGTTTGACGGCGCCTTGCAGATTAGATTGGGCGCTCCGCTGTCTCCGATAAGTAATGCTCAACGATCATTATTAGTTACTTCTTGTAATGTTGGTCAGTGGGATTTACATTCACCGGGTAGACGAGGCTGGTGTCACCACTGGCCAGGGTACAGTATACTTTTATTTTGCTTCTATAATTTTTTCACAAGGTGCCAAAACGTCCATTTTTGACGATTCCTGTACACTTAAAAACACTGTAGGTTAGGTTAGGTTAAGTTAGGTTTGGTTATGGTAGGTTAGATTAGGTTATATTAGGTTAGGTTTATGTTATGTTATGTAAGGGTATGGTAGGTTAGACTAGGTTATATTAGGTTAGGTTTGTTATGTTATATTAGGTTAGTTTACGTAGGTTAAGTTAGATTACGTTAGTTTAGGTTAGGCAAGTTTACGTTAGGTTAGGCTACGTTAGGTTAGGTTAGTTTACGTTAGGTTAGGCTAGTTTACGTTAGGTTAGGTTAGTTTACGTTAGGTTAGGTTAGGTTAGTTTACTTTAGGTTAGGTTAGGCTACGTTAGGTTAGGTTAGTTTACGTTAGGTTAGGTTAGGTTAGGTTAGGTTAGGTTAGTTTACGTTGCGTTAGGTTAGCCTACGTTAGGTTAGGTTAGTTTACGTTAGGTTAGGTTAGGTTAGTTTACGTTAGGTTAGGTTAGGTTAGTTTACGTTAGGTTAGGTTAGGTTAGTTTACGTTAGGTTAGGTTAGGTTAGTTTACGTTAGGTTAGGTTAGGCTACGTTAGATAAGGTTAGTTTACGTTAGGTTAGGTTAGTTTACGTTAGGTTAGGTTAGGTTACGTTAGTTTACGTTAGGTTAGGTTAGGTTACGTTAGTTTACGTTAGGTTAGGTTAGGCTACGTTAGGTTAGGTTAGTTTACGTTAGGTTAGGTTAGATAAGGTTGGTAATAGTGGTAAACGTAGCTGCCTGTGAGAAGGTTTCAGATAACTCAATACTCCACATACATGTTATCTCAGTGTAAATCACTGGTCACTAACATGCTGCCACGACGCTCATGCATACTTTACACTCTTGATATATATTTTTAAAATGTAACATAGACGTGCTATTTAGAAATAATTCAGAAATCAGGTCTTGTAATATTAGTAGCTGCTTCCCCATAATAATAATAATAATAATAATAATAATAATAATAATAATAGCAATAATAATAATAGTAATAATTATACTACTACTACTACTAATAATAATAACGATAATAACAACAGCAATAATAATAATAATTATACTATTACTACTAATAATAAAATATAATTATACTACTACTACTAATAATAATAATAATAATATAATGTAATAATAATGAGGTATGTCTGCCAGTGTTCCTACGCTACAGCCGGCTAAAGTTCACTACATTATTGATACCTATATTGACTCTGCACCAGAGTATGCAATAAGAGGTGTGAGTGTTGCAGGTTGCACTGCTGCGAGAGTACCTTGGAGGTGAGGTCGGGGACCACTACCACACCTTGCACTCCATGATCACTTACGAGACACAGACCAATCTTCTCACCAGCAAGACTAGACTCTCAGGAGCCAGGACGCTGCTACGTCTTCACAGAGCCTTAGGTAGTGTGTGTGTAGTTACTTATTTGTGGTTGCGGGGTCGATTCGCAGCTCCTGGCCTCGCCTCTTCGCTGGTCGCTGCTAGGTCCACTCTCTACCTCCTCCAAGAACCTTATGGTACCTGTTCTTGAAGCTATGTATGGATGCTCCCTTTGCTACTCCACTCTCCAGGTTGTTCTACTTCCTGACAGCTCTAAAGCTGAAGAAACACTTCCTAATATCCTTATCTCATCTAAGCCTTCAACTTTCAGTTTGTACCCTTGTTCCTGTGTCCCATCTCTGGAACATTCTGGCCCTGTTCACTTTGTCAATTCCTCTCAGTATTTTATACATCTTTATCATGTTACCCCTATTCCTTCTGTTCTTCAGCGTGTATGTGTGTGTGTACTCACCTAATTGTGGTTGCAGGGGTCGAGACTCAGCTCCTGGCCCCCTCCTCTTCACTGATCGCTACTAGGTCCTCTCTCTCTACTTCCTGAGCTTTGTCATACCTCGTCTTAAAGCTATGTATGGTTCCTGCCTCCACTACATCACTTGCTAGGCTATTCCACTTCCTGACGACTGACTGAAGAAATACTTCCTAACATCCCTGTGACTCGCCTGAATCTTCAGCTTCCTAGTGTGTGTGTGTGTGTGTGTGTGTGTGTGTGTGTGTGTGTGTGTGTGTGTGTGTGTGTGACTACTTACCTGAAGTTACAGAAGCAAAGTTAGGTTTCTGACGTTCCATCATGAGAATATAACTTCTTGGTTCACTGTGACTGTACCACTCACCACTTCATCTTGTAACTCGTCAGGAATACTAAGTGGAAATTTCTTGTAAAGACAACGTTTCGCCCGAACAGCTTACTTTTTACAAGTCACACTTGGAAACGCCTGCTATCCAGGCGAAACGTTACTCGTTTGTTTTTTATCAACTACAATTTGCCGGTGTTCCGAGACCATCACCCATTACATTAGTTAATGAGCCTCCATTAACAGTAGCGCAGTGGTGGTGCATGACACTAAAACAAGCTAAGCTGACGTCAGCATCATGCAGGAAGTGGGAGGGGGGGGGGTGCTGGCTGGCTGACTACCTCTTTGCAGTTTCACTTACCAATAACCATGATCAATCATGATGTTTTATTTTTTAGCTTAGTCTCAAAATTAATCGCCTCTCAATAAGACGCTTGCACACTTTGTCTGCCTGAACTTCTAAACAGCGAAGTTTTCACTCTTGCCTGTGCTTCCCTGTCAATAGTTTTGCGGTTAGTGTTGAATTGTTTTCATATATATATATATATATATATTTTTATCTGGAGTTAGTATTTATTGGCAGTGTCCTTCATCGCTCTGTTATGAACATTGCTAGTGTTATGGCTATCATTATAACTTCGTCGTAAGTGATACCCAGTTGGTACCACTTACAACGAAGGTTTCTGGTGAATTGGTACTACCAATTTACCGAAAACCATTGCATAGGAGAAGAAACTGATGACGTTGTTCCAGCCACGATATTCCGATTTTTTATTCTGCAAAGTGATACTAAGCTCGTTCAACACCACAGAGTTCGTGACGGAGTTCCTGGAGGTACTGGTATGTCCCTCTGAAGAGGGCAGCTTCGGAGGTCAAGTGTCAGAGCTGTACGGACGCACCCTGGCCAAACACCACGGACTGGTGATCAGGAAGACCTTCTCAGGCATCCTGCTCCTCCTTCCCAAGAGAGACACCATCATCCACAGAGTAAGATGCACTGTCACCCCTCGTAGTTTTGTCACACTCACAGGGAAAAGACTGAAGAACACGTAGACGTTTCACCATCCACTAACTTTATCAATACACGGATATCATGTGAAGAATGTAGAACTATATACAAAAGATGAGACAATCAGTCTATCAGTCTTGGAGTTGGTGAGGAGCACCGTAGTCTTGAAGAATGTTCAAGACTACCATACCCCCGGCCGGGATTGAACCCGCGGTCATAGAGTCTCAAAACTCCGATGAACATCAACAACTCCAAGACTGAGGGACTCATTACCTCGTCTTGTGTACAGGAGGGCTCCGCTGACACAGCAGGTTAGGTTCCAGGCCTTTTTTTTTCACTTTCAAATTCATAAAAAACCTGCTAACATATTTACATTATCATATATTAAGTGAGCAATACAGCTAGACCTTAAAAATGCTTATACACGACACAAATTTCTTTCCCTAAAATATTTTCTTATTTAGCTTATAATGAGTGGTGAATATATTTATTACAGGAAGTGTGAGTAAATGAAGAATGGGTATAATTGAAAACTGCTGTATTAGCGAAACACTAAAGTGAAGTGCTGTAAAGCGGGGTCTGTCTGTATACAGTTCTACAGCTTTCACACTGTCTTCGAACTGGTATTGATAAAGTCAATGGATGGCGAAACGTCTTACAAACAAATATACCCAGATGTTACACATGAGTCCAGTTCCCCATCTTGTTGGTATTGTATACCATTCATGTACAAAATTGAGTTATGTTGTGTGTTTCAGATGACCAATGGCAGCCCTGTAGCGGAGAAGGTAGCTATGTCAGAGCTACCATCAGTGATCGTCACCATGAGGGAAGCTTACAACTTCACGCAAAAGCTCTATGAAGAACACGACCTCCTCGCCCTCCCTTAAAGTAGCCTTTCATCCTCACTAAATCTGCACACGGAAATCACTCCCTACGAAAGCAAAAGACTCGGCAGGAGATGCAACATCCCACCAATGACAAGCAGGGGTGCCACGAGCACGCTAAGAAACAACGCAATAAGTGCCAGGGGCCCAAAACTGATCAACTACCTCCCAGCATACATAAGGGGGATTACCAATAGACCCCTGACTGTCTTCAAGAAGGCACTAGACAAGCACCTAAAGTCAGTACCTGATCAGCCAGGCTGTGGTTCGTACGTCGGTTTACGTGCAGCCAGCAGTAATAGCTTGGTTGATTAGGCCCTGATCCCCCTGGAGGGGGTTTCGGGGGAGTTGATGAATAACACTCATGAGCAACACTTAGCAATCCTATCATTAAGATATGTAAGTAAACCATGGTACAGGTGGGAATAGAACCCATGGCAAGTGGGACAAAAAGAAAGTACTCAGTGGCCACTTCATTAGGCACACCCTTCTAGTACTGGGTAGGGCTTCCCCTTTGTCCCTAGATCCCCAGAACAGTAGGAATTATACATGGCATGGATTCAACGAAGTGCTGGAAACATTCCTTACAAATCCTGGTCCATGTTGACATGACAGTATCACATAGTTGCTGCAGATTTGTTGGCTGCACATTCATGCTGCGAGTCTCCCGTTCATCCATATCCCACCTACCATTTGCATGTTGCGGCAGAAATTGCGAATCATTACACCAGGCGATGTTTCTCCAATCTTCAACTGTCCAGTTTTATTGAGCCTGTACCCACTGTAGCCTCATTTTCCTGTTCTTAGCTAACAGAAGTGGAACCCGGTGTGGTCTTCAGCTTCCAGTTCCCATCTACTTCAATATTCGACATGTTGTACGTCCTAGGATGCTCTTCATAACACTGCTGCAACATGTGGTTATTTGAGTTACAGTCTCCTTCCAGTCAGCTCAAACCAGTCTGGCCATTCTCCTCTGACCTCTCTCATTAACAAGGCGTTTTTGAACACAGGACTGCCTACTGATTTCTCTACGGCTGCCCAGTCCCTGGACCCATTATGTGCCTCTGTAATGCTGAGGTACGGTTCCTAGACCCATTATGTGCCTCTGTAATGCTGAGGTACGGTCCCTAGACCCATTATGTGCCTCTGTAATGCTGAGGTACGGTTCCTAGACCCATTATGTGCCTCTGTAATGCTGAGGTACGGTTCCTAGACCCATTATGTGCCTCTGTAATGCTGAGGTACGGTTCCTAGACCCATTATATGCCTCTGTAATGCTGAGGTACGGTCCCTAGACCCATTATGTACCTCTGTAATGCTGAGGTACGGTTCCTAGACCCATTATGTGCCTCTGTAATGCTGAGGTACGGTTCCTAGACCCATTATGTGCCTCTGTAATGCTGAGGTACGGTCCCTAGACCCATTATGTGCCTCTGTAATGCTGAGGTACGGTCCCTAGACCCATTATGTGCCTCTGTAATGCTGAGGTACGGTTCCTAGACCCATTATGTGCCTCTGTAATGCTGAGGTACGGTACCTAGACCCATTATGTGCCTCTGTAATGCTGAGGTACGGTTCCTAGACCCATTATGTGCCTCTGTAATGCTGAGGTACGGTCCCTGGACCAATCATGTGCCTCTGTAATCATTTAACTACCCTCCACAGGATGGGTATGGGATGCATAATAAAAACATTAACCTAACTTCTATATGCTGGTCCACTCAGATTTATATCATTGTTTGTAAATAATGATGATGTTAACACTCTGTAATTTACATATTTATTTTGTAGTTCTTGTTGAGGATGTATGCTTTGTAATTTAGTAAAAATATTTTTAATAATGGTGATGCTGATATTAATGTCCTGAAGTGGGGGTGCAGGTCGTGAAGGATGGTGTGTGTGTACTGGTACATGTGAAGGATGGTGTGTGTGTACTGGTACAGGTCGTGAAGGAAGGTGTGTGTGTACTGGTACAGGTCGTGAAGGATGGTGTGTGTGTACTGGTACAGGTCTTGAGGGAAGGTGTGTGTGCACTGGTACAGGTCTTGAAGGATGGTGTGTGTGTACTGGTACAGGTCGTGAGGTGGTGTGTGTACTGGTACAGGTCGTGAAGGATGGTGTGTGTACTGGTACAGGTCGTGAAGGATGGTGTGTGTGTACTGGTACAGGTCGTGAAGGATGGTGTGTGTGTACTGGTACAGGTCGTGAAGGATGGTGTGTGTGTACTGGTACAGGTCGTGAAGGATGGTGTGTGTGTACTGGTACAGGTCGTGAAGGATGGTGTGTGTGTACTGGTACAGGTCGTGAAGGATGGTGTGTGTACTGGTACAGGTCGTAAGGATGGTGTGTGTGTACTGGTACAGGTCGTGAAGGATGGTGTGTGTGTACTGGTACAGGTCGTGAAGGATGGTGTGTGTACTGGTACAGGTCGTGAAGGATGGTGTGTGTGTACTGGTACAGGTCGTGAAGGGAGGTGTGTGTGTACTGGTACAGGTCTGAAGGAGGTGTGTGTGTACTGGTACAGGTCGTGAAGGATGGTGTGTGTGTACTGGTACAGGTCGTGAAGGATGGTGTGTGTGTACTGGTACAGGTCGTGAAGGATGGTGTGTGTGTACTGGTACAGGTCGTGAAGGATGGTGTGTGTGTACTGGTACAGGTCGTGAAGGAAAGGTGTGTGTGTACTGGTACAGGTCTTGAAGGGATGGTGTGTGTGTACTGGTACAGGTCTTTGAAGGATGGTGTGTGTGTACTGGTACAGTCTGAAGGATGGTGTGTGTGTACTGGTACAAGTCGTGAAGGATGGTGTGTGTGTACTGGTACAAGTCGTGAAGGATGGTGTGTGTGTACTGGTACAAGTCGTGAAGGATGGTGTGTGTGTACTGGTACAAGTCGTGAAGGATGGTGTGTGTGTACTGGTACAGGTCGTGAAGGATGGTGTGTGTGTACTGGTACAGGTCGTGAAGGATGGTGTGTGTGTACTGGTACAGGTCGTGAGGGATGGTGTGTGTACTGGTACAGGTCGTGAAGGATGGTGTGTGTGTACTGGTACAGGTCGTGAGGGAAGGTGTGTGTACTGGTACAGGTCGTGAAGGATGGTGTGTGTACTGGAACAGTTCGTGAAGGATGGTGTGTGTACTGGTACAGGTCGTGAAGGATGGTGTGTGTACTGGTACAGGTCGTGAAGGATGGTGTGTGTGTACTGGTACAGGTCGTGAAGGATGGTGTGTGTACTGGTACAGGTCGTGAAGGATGGTGTGTGTGTACTGGTACAGGTCGTGAAGGATGGTGTGTGTGTACTGGTACAGGTCGTGAAGGATGGTGTGTGTACTGGTACAGGTCGTGAAGGATGGTGTGTGTACTGGTACAGGTCGTGAAGGATGGTGTGTGTACTGGTACAGGTCGTGAAGGATAAGAGAAACCAACAGGACCTTGCTAAGAGAGATCTCGAGATAAAGGTGATACAGGCAAAACAAATAATAATAACAGTATTAATAATAATAATAATAATAATAATAATAATAATAATAATAATAATAATAATAATAATAATAATAATAACAGTATTATTATTAATAATAATAATAATAATAATAATAATAATAATAATAATAATAATAACAGTATTAATAATAATAATAATAATAATAATAATAATAATAATAATAATAATAATAATAATAATAACAGTATTAATAATAATAATAATAATAATAATAATAATAATAATAATAACAGTATTAATAATAATAATAATAATAATAATAATAATAATAATAATAACCAGAAAAAATCAACATTAATAATAATACCACCACCACCACCACCAACAATAATAATATCTGAATCGTTTTGAAAAAAATATCTGGTGTAGTGTTGCAGGTTCTTCACCTTCTCTTATTCGTGTCATTTCCTTGACTCTCTGTGTTATAAAGGTTCTCATTACCACTTCCTACAGTTTTGATCTTTGGGGGTAAAGTCCCGATATACTGAACCAGCTTTTACTTCCGCAACGTTTCGTATTTGTAGAGCTTTATCAAGTGATGTTTCACTCTTTGTAGAGCTTCGTCAAGTGATTTTGCACTCTTTGTAGCTTCATCAAGTGATGTTTCACTCTTTGTAGCTTCATCAAGTGATGTTTCACTCTTTGTAGCTTCATCAAGTGATGTTTCACTCTTTGTAGCTTCATCAAGTGATGTTTCACTCTTTGTAGCTTCATCAAGTGATGTTTCACTCTTTGTAGCTTCATCAAGTGATGTTTCACTCTTTGTAGAGTTTCATCTAGTCACGTTTCGCTCGGTGTCACGACTTGAAGCTTTTCACTGATCGAAGCTGTCTCAGTTTAAGCTTTTTCAGCTTCTTGGTTCTTGATACCCAAGCTGGTTCTTGATACCTAAGCTGGTTCTTGATACCCAAGCTGGTTCTTGATACCTAAGCTTCGCTCTTCAGGTCTCCACACCACCCCTGGGAGACCCTGGTCTCTTGTGCTGTCTTCCTGGGCTGCAAGTCTCACACGGTGCGCAGTTGTTGTGGCTTTTGTTCTGTGTACTGTTGTTGTTTCAAGGCTGGCTATTGTTGTGTTGTTGTCAGAGTACTGTGTGTGTGTGCGTCTGTGTGTGAGGGTCTGTGTATGTGTGTGTAATCACCTATAAATGGTTGCAGGGGTCGATTCACAGCTTCTGGTCCCGCCTCTTCGCTAGTCACCACTAGGTCCATTTTCTCCCTGCACCATGAGCTTTATCGTACCTGGTGTGTGTGTGTGTGTGTGTGTGTGTGTGTGTGTGTGTGTGTGTGTGTGTGTGTGTGTGTGTGTGAGAGAGAGAGAGAGAGAGAGAGAGAGAGAGGAAGTAGAGAGTCAGACCCAGAAGCCTTGCTTGAGGGTTAACGAGCACCATGAGAGAGAGAGAGAGAGAGAGAGAGAGAGAGAGAGAGAGAGAGAGAGAGAGAGAGAGAGAGAGAGAGAGAGAGAGAGAGAGAGAGAGAGAGAGAGAGAGTTGTGATGGAAATGGATTTTCAAACTGACAAGTTGAAAAATTAAACATTTGTGCGACATCTGGGTATGTTCGTTGAGGAAACGTTTCGCCAACCGGTGCCTTCTGGGTATGTTCGTTGAGGAAACGTTTCGCCAACCGGTGCCTTCTTCAGTCCAATACTGTTAATAACAGTGAAAGATGAGGAGGAGGAGTTTGAGGTAATCAGTCCCTCGACCTAGAGTCGATATATCCAGTCCATCAATCCCGAGATTGATGGACTAAATACATCCTGGTCGAGGGACTGATAGACTGAAAATATCGACTCCAGGTCGAGGTACTGATAGACTGAACATATCGACTTCAGGTCGAGGGACTGATTACCTCAAACTCCTCCTCCTCATCTGTCACTGTTATTCTCAGTATTGGGCTGAAGAAGGCACTGGTTGGCGAAACGTTTCCTCAACGAAGATGCCCAAATATCGCATAAGTGTCCAAGGATCCCAATGGAAATAAGTCACTTTGACTTTCTCGAGTTATCCTTGGTAATCTACACATATACTGATATCTATGATCAATTATCTGTGTTTGTGTGTACCTGTACCTGAATAAACTTAGTGTGTCATTCTCCATAGATAGATAGATAGAGAGAGAGTTGCATTGTCCTAGTACCGTCTTCCTGAGGAAGACCTGGGGGAGCTGGTGGTAGTAGTGGGTTTTCCAGCAGTGTGGCCTTGACCATTGTTCCCTTTGTGTACACTATAATGTGATATGACCTTTGTATGTATGCTGAGGTCCCCTTTATGTTTATGTAAGGTCCATCAATATTCACCCTCGCTACTACATATTCTTCCCTCCTCGTCCTTCGCCCGGATCTCGGAAATGACGAGCTCTGTCATCTATTCCATGGAGGAAAAAATAAAAAGACACAGAATAAACGAGAATTTAGAACATTGTTCCTGGAAATAATTAAAAGAAATAATAAAAGACGTGAAAATATTGAGAAATATCAAGGTTTTTCATGTTTCTTAAATTATATTATAAGAAATGAAAAAAAAGATGAGATACAATATTTTCACGTGTTTATATATATTTTTTTTCAAGTATTTTTTGACAAAAAGAATTCATATATAATACAAATGCTTAATATGACAGGAAAACAAGTGTAGCTATCAGCCTAACTTAACCTTAGACGAAGTTATATTTCTCTCAGCATATATATCACAGAATATATATATCCAGAGGTGCACATCTCAGCGTATATATCACAATATATATATACACTGAAAGATGTAAATTTCTCTCAACCTATATACTCTGAGAGTTCACTTTAATCACTGTTTTAGGGAATATATTCTTGTCTGGTGTAGATGAGATGACCCTCGTGTAGTAGATAGACTTCAAACCCCATTAACCAACTAAGCTAATCTTTCTACGATACTCGTGACTTTATGTCGCTCAGTCTAAGCAGCTGAGATCAGTTTTAACAGACTTAACATTACACAGTTTAAACTGAATAAGCATAATTTCATGAAGTTTAATCTGATTTTTACAGGACTGTTGATAAAATCGGCACAGTGCCTCCTTAGCCAGATGATACTTACCAAATTAGTAATCCGAGGTCGCAGAATCTGATTGGTTGGTGTATAAATACTGAGACACACACACACACCACGTGGTGCTGGAAAACCTCATGCACCAACATGTTAAGGACACTACCAGAGTGAGAGGGGAGGATGAACCAGCAAGATTGGACCTTGTGTTCACCCTGGGCAGCACAGACATTGAGGACATCAAGTATGAGAGTCCCCTAGGAGCTAGCGACCACGTGGTTCTGTGCTTTGAATACATAGTAGAGCTGCAAGTGGAGAGAATAAC